CGGGGAGGGCGGGCTCGGGCACGGGCAGCGGCGGTCCTGGGCGGGCTCGGGCGGCGGTTAGGTTGAGGGCGGCGACAGTGAGGTCGAGGGCGGCCTCGGGCGGCGGCGGTGAGGCTGAGGGCGGCCTCGGGCGGCGGCGGTGAGGATGACCGCTGCCTCAGGGGGAGACGGTGAGGTTGCGGGCATCCACGCCGGTAGGAGACGAAGGCGAAGTGGGGCGACGGCGAATTGGTACGGCGGCGAGTGGAGCGAGGGATTTGGGGGAGAAGTGGTGGCCAGGGGGGGGAACCGCTGTTTAAGTGAAACATAACGGTAGCGCGTTCCTGAAAATGCGCTATAGCTAAGTTAGCTACAGCGCGTTTTCTAAAACGCGCTACTGCTATTCCTTTCTCCTTTTTTCCCTTTTTCATTTCTTTTTCTTGACATTTTATTTTTTCCTTTTTCCTTTTTCTATTTCTTTCATTTTCATTTACTTTTCTATTTGTTTTTCATTTTATTTTATTTTCGTTAGCAGTAGCGCCTTACACATAAACACACTGCTACAACAAAATTAGCGGCAGCGCGGTTTCTAAAAGAGCGCTACTACTATGTGTAGTCTATTGGCTTAGTGGTGGGAATTTTTGTAGTAGCGCTTTTACAACGGGACGCACTACTGCTATATATGTATCTGCAGCGCGGTTATTTCGCGCGCGCTACTGCTGTGTAGCAGTAGCGCGCTTTTTTAACACGCGCTACTGCTAAATTTCTATGTATAAGGTTTTCCCTAGTAGTGACAATATAAACATTTACCATACCAAATCTATATGATGTGAAAGTACATTCAACAATGAATCTAATGGTATTAATTTATTATTGTACATGTTAATATTTTGTATATGAACTTTGTTAAAGTTTACAAACCTTGACTTTGACCAAAGCTAATACGTGAACTAAATAAAAATGGAGGGTGTATGTTTATGGGACCCTGATAAGTACCACACATGTGGCACGAAGCAACTTGGGCCAAACTAATGATACATGATAAGTACCACACTGCCACATCGTAGGCACACGCAGCCTCATCGGCGGTGGGATACGTGCTGAGCCACCAACGTCGCCCGGCGTCGGAGAACTCCACTCCGAAGTTCTTGGAGGGCTTTGCCCTCACGCCGAAGAAACCCGAGTTGTCCTTTGGTGTCTTCTTCGGCGCCATTGAGGAGCGGGCGGAGCGGAGCGGCGGCGTGCGGTGCGGGCGAGGGCGGGCGGCAGCGTGCGGTGTGGTCGGGGGAGGGCGGAGGCCGGAGCGGAGGCGGAGGAGGCCGGAGAGGAGGCGGATGGGGCTGGCGCGGGGCAGAGGCGACCGGAGAGGGG